TTGTATTGGAAAGCATGTCTTGCCAAACGGCTGTTTCGTCCATTGCTATAATGTCACTGTCACTGTAGGAGAACTTTACACGTAGCCGTCTTGCTTGTAACACATATGCGATCAGTTTGTCAATTAGTTTTTCGGTATCCTTTTGGGATTCCGTTGTCTTGCGCCGTATGCATAACCCATGTCTGGTCATGAACTTCTGCACCCACCCAATGCTTGCCGTGAATGTTGAGAAACCTTGCTTTGCTTCTGATCATTTTCCTTGATACACGAAAACCATTAGAGCGTCATTCGTGGACCCATTCCAACAACATTTCTTCAATATCCAGATCAAAAGGCTTTCTTCCCGCCCCGGCGAGCCGCTTTCGCTTGCAACTAGCAGATTCTAATTTACTCTGGTTTGCTCGCCACTCTCGTATTCTCTTCCGGTCCACGTTGAACTTCTTCGCTGCTTGATAGTTACTACTGCATTCCACGGCAAACCGTACGGCTTCTAGTTTAAATTCTGTTGAATAAGAATTGACCTTTTTGCCGGCATGAGACTGAGAAGCATCAGCCTCCATGCTTTTACACAAAGTGATCACTGTACGCAGCTGGATACGCGTAAGAATGGGTTTAGGATTGCAAGTGAACGTGACTGCTTGAAGCTGTTAGTGATTCACCGAATGTAAGAACAATGCAAATGATATAAATTATGAAGAAGACGCGGGAAAGCAGCTACGCGCCGAAATTACCAGTGGTAAATATCTACGATTATGGCGCGTTCTGACTATCACTTGATTTGGAATTCGATGTTTGTTTATGAAGTGGAATTTTCGTTTGTTATACGAGGTCATCATGTTTACAAAGCGGCGTGGTCTCCAATCATAGGAGAGTCTCTGGCATGCAGGAATGATGACCGTAAAGAAGCTAAAGAACACGATGAATACGCAGTTGGGACTTACCTTGAAGCTGATAACAAACTTGTTGGGCATGTGCCGATGGAACTTTCCTTCCTTATATTCACATTTCTCAAAGCCCGCCATGAGAATAAAGTACAGGTCAAAGTGACTGGATCAAGAAGACTGGAAAACGGACTTGTTGTCCCCGGAGCGTTCCTAGCGAGAACAACCAGCAGAGCAATCGCCACAAAATTTGAAGAAGAGATTACTCGTTTGAAGGAATTATGTATTCACATGGACATAACAGTTGAGAAACTCAGACGAAGACCACTGTTTTTGTAATGCATTATTACGTACGGTATGTCCGCTATTAAAGGAAGATGAACCACGTTTGATACGTACGGTATTCTGAAAGCGCTGTAATATTAGAACAGGGGCGCTTATTTGAATAGGGGCGCTTATAAGAATGGGGCGCTTATTAGAATGGGGCGCTTATTAGAATGGGGGCGCTTATTGGAATGGGGGCGCTTATTAACAAAAACACATTCGAATGGGGGCGCTTATTAACAAAAACACATTCGAAGGGGGGCGCTTATTCGGAAGGGGGCGCTTTTTGGAAGGAGGGCGCTAAATCGAATCATTACGGTATCCCTTTTTCTTTTTAGGTCGCAGGAAAGTGGGTGTGACAGGCTTCTGCATGGGTGGGGCTCTGTCTCTGGCAGCTACGGCGCTGATTCCTGAAGAGATTACAGCAGCAGCTCTTTCTATGGCATCCCAGTGCAAAGCTGTGTAATTTGGGGAAAATCAAAATACCTTTGCAAGCTCATTTTGGGAGTTAGGATAATCTTGAGGGTTTCTCATCACCAAAAGATGTCAAAGCTTTAACAGAGAAGCTGGATGCTGGAGGAGTGAAGTATGAGCTTCATATGTATGACACTGGCCATGTTTTCACCAATCCAACCAACACAAATTACACCAAGGAAATTCTTGATTTGGCTCTTGGAAGGATGATAGACTTTATGAAAAAACACTTGGCATAAACCTTGTTTTCTAAACTTTACATGAGTTATGTCACAAAGATTAAGATAGGTTTTTTTAAAAGATGCTGTCGACAAAGATTTGAAAACATCATGTTAACTGGACACTAAAACATAAATGGAGTTTTACAGCAAAAAAAACTGGTTTAAAAGTTTCAATGCATCAGAACCTCTTGGTATCGTACAAATTACAAGCCCGTTTTTGGTGAGGTGATATACTTGAGGGCATATAGGTTGTGACCAAGCTCTCTCCTTGAGAGTGAGACCTAGGGGAAAGCTACATGAAGGGGTTGGGGTGAGGACGAGAAAAGACAAGGGGGAGGGGAAGGGAAGGGAGGATAGCCAGGTGACAAAAGATTACAGCTGCCATTCTGCCCCCTTGCAATTGAGCTGTCATTGATCTTTCATATCATTATCCATCCCCACTTGGATAAATTATCATAAAATCAGATGGCACCCTTCTAGCTCTTGCCCTCACAGAGAAGCTGGATTCTGGAGGAGTGAAGTATGAGCTTCATATGTATGACACTGGCCATGCTTTTAACCAACTCAACTAACCCAAATAACATCAGGGAAATTTGTGATTTGGCTCTTGGAAGGATGATAAATTTTACGAAAAAGCACTTGTCATAAACTTTGTTTTCTGCTTTTGCTGTGAATTATCAATTTCCACTGAGTAGAATATGTCTTTCTCCTGGAGACATCTTACTTGCTGGAAATCTGGATATCTCTCATTCCTTGAGGCCATCAGGTCTAATTTAAGTAACCATGGAATACAAACATGTCGGCAACCCCCAAAGACGACTTCCACCCTGCTCAATTAGAAGTTTATTAAAAAATTCACTGGGAATAGGACCTTATATTTTTTATTTAAAACTAACTTACATCCCCCACTACTTCCCTTCCCACTTAAGGATAGTAAGACGCCCACAAAGTTTATTTGATTACTAGATTTCAACACCTACAAATTATGGGAACCTTTATGTGGATTCTGGTGCCCCCAAACAAGATACCAAACTACTCAGAGAAAATTGAGGTCAAATCTTTCAGATCGCAATTCCAAGGTTCCATTCCACGGCGGAGAACAGCGATTCTGATACCTCATGACGGACGAAAGACTGATTTATGCGCACGACCCACACGCGAGCTCAATTCGATTCTAAAGTGATCCACTTGGATCGTACGTTAAGGATCCAAGCTGTTCATTCAAAGCACATCACAGAACAAAAACTTCATTTTATTCAATTTTTTTGCTAAACTACTAGTATTAATATTCATATTGTAATATTACCATCTCATATTCATCGTAAACGGTACCGAGCACGATCCTTACTGGCAGTCTTGAGCAAAAGATTAACAATGCAGATATATTTTGTTTGACATATTATTATATATTATTATTATATTCAGATATGTATTTTGTTTCAGATATATTATTATGCTGAGGAAAGAGGAGCAAAGAGTGTCAGTCAGCTTGCACACTCCTTAATGAACTATTTCACTTTGAATGCTAGTGTTAGTGGAGTTAGAATTATGTATCCCCAAGATACCTTGCAGGCCATGTTCACTTCCCCTTCTTGAAATTTAACAACCGTTTGTTAGTTTTCCGTGATTTTGCTATTATCAAACACCACTTTTTCATAAAATTGCTATCTACATAGGTATAACAATCAGGCTTGTACGTGTCTCGTGGTTGAAGGTAAACTGCTGGGGACTCCAAGTACCACGGGTCATCTAATGAAGCGCCAAGAGCTGCAGTACTGTAGCCACAGCAATAATCTCCCGCGTTACTCAAAGCATTGAGGGAGAATAAAGAGTAATGTAGAATAAACCAAACAGCCACAAACGCGATATAGTCCCATTCTATTCGTTGGCTTATCATTAAAACATCATTAGGACTATCATAAACTAAAACTATAACTGCTCGAGGATTGACCCAAAGTATGGGAATGGGATAAGAAATGTTAGGGTGGCGTTCAAGTTGAACTTGGGCTAAAACTATTATCGTTGCAAGGCATTGGGAGATGAATTTTCTAGCCTCAACTACGTCATTTTTGCCCTCAACTTTTGCTTTGCCAGGTGAGGTAGATGAAGATGTTTTCCTCTCTGCAAACAAAAAACAACAATACAATTTAATATTTCTGCAAAAATAAGCCGATTTGTAATGGTAATACGACACGAAATCCTAATACCAATTAATCGAATCGATAACAAAATACGAGAGTTTTCAATATAAAAAAAAATAATATTGAGCTATCCAGGCAAATTAATTGTATGATCCTGAAGGCATGAATGAATCATGTATTTGACTGACGAGCTTTTTGTTAAAAAATCTGTGATTTGGAGTCAAATAAAGTGAACTTTAATCAGAGTTACAAATGCAACAAAGTGGATGAGTTAAAGTGAACTGAGTGGTACAACTGCTTGTAAGATTTTCCAAAGCGACACGGATTCCATTCATATTTGACGTGTACTAATTATCAGTCTAACTTCCGCGCCAATTACCACATTTTTTAAGGAAAATATCAGTGACAAGATTCAGAGAAACTATTTCTTTATTTTGAATTTAGGTCAATGTTAAAATCAATGTAGCTTCACGGATGATCTGTTTTGTGTTACGTAGACATAAAATCATGAGATGAATTCGATTAAACACCAATTTAAAAGTTGTCATCGAGTTCCCCATCATCGTTTATACCCATACCTCGAGCTCATCTTGCTCTTTTCTTCGTTGCTGTTCCTGTGTACGTGTAGTATTACATTAAAAGAGAAAAATAGACCAAAGACTTCTATTTGTCATCCGTATGCTCAAATACACTTGAAAGTAAGAGGTTGCTTGGATCTTCCTTTTGACCTTCCCTGCTTACACTCGCGCTCAATCAATCAATTTATTCAACGTGGTCAGAACGCTTAGCTAAAAGCTAGTTTACAGGTACGCCACGAAATAAAAAGAGAAAAGGAAACTATAAAGCCTTATGAAGGTATATAAATTTAAATGAATTAAGATTAAGAACTACCTAATATTAAAATATAATAATTTAACAATGTAGTCACCAAGTAAAATGTATAAAATGTAATCATTAAAAACAGTAAATATAATCAAGGATAGATCCTCACCGCACTAGAGTCCCGTGAGATCTAATGTTTTTAAGTCATTTTTAAAAGTAGTAAATGTTTGTATCTTTCGAGACTCGTCCGGTAAAGCGTTCCATAATTTCGATGCAGCATATCTCCATGATCTTAACCCGAAGGTTGTTGATTTTACTTTTGGGAGGTCCAGTATTGTGGTGCCCCTAAGGTTATAAGTGGAGCACCTTATTGTTGTAAGCTTTTTGGACCTGCATCACTGGCTAATATCTTAAAGACAGTGGACAATATTTTCGCTAATCGCTGTTCACGAAGACTTGAGAGACCGATAGGCTTACAAAGTTCCTGATAAGGCGAGGACTTATCTCTAAAAACAAAACGGAGCGCACGTTTGTTCACCAACTCTAACTTGTCAGCTGACTTTTTATTACAGAAGTGCCACGTTTCAGAGCAGTAATTAAAGTGTGGTAAAATGAAAGCTTTATAAAGATCCCTTCTAGTCTCAAAAGACAACATTTTCTGTATCCTTTTTAATACGGCGACTTGTTGACTGACTTTTCTACATATTTTAGCAATGTGCTTTTCAAAATTTAATTTATCACCGATTGTCACGCCAAGAAGTTTCATTGTGTTGGATGTGGGAAGTTGTGACTCCTCACACTCAAACACTGGTTCATCAGTTCCTTTGTGTTTTCCCAACACCATAGCCTGGTATCTTGAACTGTTCCTCTTCATACCATTACGCGCAAACCATATATCAGCACTAATAAGATCATTGTTGATTGTTTCTTCAACTTTGAAGAGTTGATTGTCGGCGTAAAAGATTTGATTGTCATCAGCGTAAGTGGACAGAGTGCACTTCTTGATGACATATGAAAGATCGTTCATGAAGATGTTGAATAATAAAGGGCCGAGGATGGATCCCTGTGGTACACCATTGCATATAGGTTGCCAATTGGAAAGCGTATCCCCCAGTCTCACCCTTTGGAATCGATTTGATAAATAATCTTTTATCAGGAAGATTGTTGCTTCATCTGCTCCATATTCTTTTAATTTCAAAACAATCAGTTCATGAGGTAAGGTGTCGAAAGCCTTGGACAAGTCCATGGAGACCAGACCGATCAATTTATTGTTATCAATTTCTTTTTTTCCATTGTTCGGTTAGACTAAGAAGTGCTGAGTCGCAGCCGTGATATTTCCTATAAGCAAACACATATCTGTGATGAATTTCTTTATCTTTTTCATTTACGTCCTTACAGTTTAACTTAACTGCCAAT